GACTTAGATCCTTGCCGCCCTGTGTGTGATGTGAGCCTTCAAGACACCTCAAGCTCTCTATTATGCACCCGCCAAGTCTGCTATGCTGATGTGGCCTTTTTTAACCTATCTGCTAAGGACATATTGCTCCTAGTGCATGTTTTCTCTATTTATATAAGCCCAAGATAGTACTGAGTTCTTTATTCATTGTATATGCATGTACATAGTGCGTCTCTCGAAGTGATTCCTTATGATGTACACTCCTTCTGCCCTCTCCAGGTTATAGCTACCTTAGTTATCTTATCTTCCTCACTTCTTCTGCCCTAAAGCTGCGGTGTTATTTTCATTAGCAGACTGACTGCCTGTCTTGTGTCTATTGCTACTGCGACCCTAATCCGTTGTGAGACAATAGCAAGCAAATGTTACGGTATAGCGGACTACGGCCTACAAGTCGGTAACGTTGAGAATGCGAGGACCTGTCAAATCGACGCCGAAATGACCGCTTCAGGTTAACCACCGGCATATCTAGCAGTAGTACATATCGGGCCAAGCACCGTCTTATCCCAGCATGTTCCGGCGTGGCGTACCTGACCGGCGTCTAGTTCGGGAGTCTTATCCCCCCACCACATCCGGCCTCCCTGGTCTGTCTTCCAATCATCGACGAGATCTACAAGAGTCGACAGATGCCCCAGCGCGGCAGGCTGACGGCCTCTCCGTCGCCTGAGAGCTAGGTATGTCGCGAAAGTGGCCACGAGGACGGCTAGTGTAGCGTATATAATCAACCGCGAGTATACCATATCAAACTGGAATCCGCGTTTGAGCGACAGGTGTTCGACATGAGCGGACAGGTCTTCGACAGGGATGGAGGCCAATGATTCGATGTCTTTGGCGATGTCTTTGGAGTCTTCCATGGTAACGGAAGGGATCAGGCTCTGACCAATTATCCAATGCAGCACCGCTTTGGCTATAAATAGAACGGCGTTCTCCCAACTCGATACAGCTGCGCGGAATGGATTCGTGGCCAACTGTGTCCCTGGAGCCTCTCTTGTTTCACTGTAAGCTTGTCGCCAAATGCCTTCATCTCTGGACAAGCTGACGAGCAGCTCCAAACAGTGCAATGAGACGGTCTGACTAGCCTGGATAAGACAGACAAAGAGAACGCAAAGTACAGCCTCGGCACCGTACGAGAACGTTGCGGAATTAGGGTTGTGGTCATTCGCATATGGGGACATAGACAGCGTAACATAGTTCCGAGAGCACGCAAGAGCGTCTTTATTCCATTTGAATGCAGCTCTCCAGCATAAAGGTTCAGAGGCTTGGCCAGCAGCACTGGCGTTGCCGATGGACATGGAGACAGCGGCGATGGCGATGGGCCACGCGATGGCCAGAAGAGCGAGTGACCACAGTAGAACGAGAATATATCGCACCACGCCCTGTAATTGGAACATATTTCCTTGTCGATCCATAGGATATGTCTCTTGGCTTGACATTTGTCGCTGGTGAACTGATAGCATACATCTCCCGGGACGGTGAGCGAGGCCACCATTCTGCACCACGGCCGACGCGGTGTTGAGCGGGTTGGAGCTCCAGGTCGGTATCAACTTGTAGCTGGACACTAGGCACCATACGGCGATGATGGCCTGGCCGGCGAGACCTAGACCCAAGGCTACTAGAGCTGTGCCGTTAATCATTAATGGAGATTCATTCTCAGATAGCACAACGGCTTGGTCGGACAGCAGCAGAACGGATGAAGAAGCGTATGATAGCACCAGGCAAGTTAGGGCCACTAGGTTGATGTACCATTTGTTCGGGCCGGATCTTTCGGAGCTGGTGAAGAGACGGATATTGGTGTTGAACTCCAGGCGTCCCTCGCGATACAATGCCCAACGTAATGAGACAGAATGCACGAACATCATACCATCAGTGCAGAGTGCTAGTATGACGTTGATCGCTAGGGCCATGGCTTCTCTTCCAGAAGTAGAGATAGAGGCCGAAGCGCCGAGTGTTGCCTTGTTGGTACTGAGGAGGTAAACACCGGATATCAAGCAAAGTAGTGAGAGAATCACGCCCGTTGATACGGCGGCAATGCATCCAGATCTTGTACCGCTCGCCGTGTCAAAATCTGGCCCATCTTCCTCATCCTGATGTAGTGATTGCTCGACGAATGGCTGCTTTTGCTCTTCCGAGAATTCCTGTCCCCTGAGTCTGGAACGCAGTTTCGGTCGGTGCATGTCGAACGTCAAATGGACCGACTAATAGGTTCGTGAGTTCGGCTGGGCAACTCGTCCCCAGGAACAACCCTATTAATATGCTTGGAGGGGTTGTGAGCCCCTACATGTTAGTATCAGGGGCAGTGCTTGATATGCAGGCACATTGTGCTGACATCCGCATTAGCCTAAATGTGGGGGCCAATCTGCCTACAGTCAGCCTTGTGATGTAAAATGGCACAAATCAGTGCACAGATGGTCTAGAGTCAGTCAAAAATTGGACAACAAAGAAGGGAAACATCTCTCGGCCTATTCACGCCTCAAATGTTTACACTTCACTCTATTCTACGCTTCGTCGCCTGTCGTAGTTTTCGCAGGTGTTCCTGGGGCTGGTTGCTTGTTTCTCGAAGTAGTCTAGCCCAGGTAGAAAGAAGCCTGACCTTGTAAGAAGCGGTTAACCACCACGCCACTGGCCAAATCCTAGTACGGCAGATGTGAAATAGGTAATTCCAGGGAGCCGAAATAAATTTCAGGTCCTGATCTCTGAAGCACAGATTCGAGGCAGTTTGTCTTCATGAATTGAGTGAGATAAGACCCCAGGGTTGGCCCTATCTCGATCTGAAAGTGGCTTAGCCTCGGCCCCTCCTTTTGGGTCCCCAGACATACGCAGAAGCTTCTCCATACTTCATACTTCATACTCCATCAACACTGAACATAAACAGCTCCAGGCATCAGTGGGAAGGCTGACCGCTCAGATCACTCGTTATACATCACACCTGGGGAGATGAGGGATTGCTTCTTCTCTTCTTAATTCCGGTATACTATAACTGCCTCAACTGCCATTGCTACCTTACGTTCAGCAAGACCAAAAGATGTCCGGATCCGATCCCAAGTACGCCAAGTCAAAGTTCTTATCACGAGCTCCATTGGTATGCAACTGATGTTCCTGGAGGGGCGTTCAAGTCATGGCGCAATGTTCGCGCCCCCCTCGTCTATTCTACCGGAATTACCCCGTGGTGTAAAGAACGAAGTATGGACTGATCCGCATGATAGGAAAACAGTAATGCCAAATGGACTAGGTTGGTTCTGACCACATACACTGATCCAAATGGTGTGGAAAGGACTTGGGAGTCGGCAGAGAGACGGGTAAGTGTATTTCTTTTACTTGCTCGGTGCGGTTCCTTGTACATCCAGGGTGCTATGACGCTATCATGCCACTGCTAGTCTGCGTTGCGACTCAGCAGAAGGCTTCTGGCTTTCCTCTCCTTACTTCAGCAGCAAGACTTACTTCATGGCTGAGAAACCTTGCGTAGGATTACGTGGAAGTACTGACTGGGATAGACTCGGCCACCGGGCTGCGAGGTCGATGGCGTGGGAATCGTGACCATCATTGACAAGCCAACTGGCCCTGAATTGCTGCTGCAAAAACAGTACAGGCCGCCTATCGACAAAGTGGTCATTGAAGTCCCAGCGGGTCTTATCGACGCAGGTGAGACCGTTGAGGAATGTGCGGTGCGCGAGCTCAGGGAAGAGACTGGTTATGTGGGAGTGGCAGAGCAGACAAGCACTCTCATGTTTAATGGTGAGTGCATTGATACTACACGCAATTTTCCGTGATCAAGCACGGTTCCGACCCTCTGAGGCGTGGTGCAAGGCACTAATTGAAGGTATCACAGATCCGGGGATGTGTAACACTAATCTGAATATGGTTCATGTGCGTGTGGATCTGTCGCTTCCTGAAAATCAGGATCCGAAACCGCAACTCGAGGACAATGAGTTTATCGAGTGCTTCACACTGCCCTTGAGTACATTGTTTTCCGAGTTGAAGAGACTCGAAGCCGAGGGATATGCCATTGATGCCCGCGTGGGAACATTAGCAGAGGGCATCGAACTGGCGCAGAAGTTGAAGCTTTAATTGCGCGCTTCATTCACGGCTTGTCCTGCATATAGACGAGATCGAGGATCCATTCATGTCGATAGATATCCATAACCTACGGAGTAGAGACTACAGGTGCCAATCTTCCTATCGGCTTTGGCTACGAGGCTGAGCCATTCTTAAATCTTTCCATCCTGTTTCAGGCCGTTATATAGTGCCCATGCGGCAAGGGTCTTACCGTCTCGCAATGCCTCTTTCCAAAGGTCTTTCAACGGCACAATCTTCAATGTGATCTTCTCTCCATGCTGGCGTAAACCCGTCACCCGTCCTTGTAGACTCTCGATCTCCTTGCGCGGCATCCTCTTTTGGCACAAAAACAAGGGGATAAACTCATCGCTCCCTCCCGGGGACGGATAGACTGCTCTTTGCAGAGACTCTCCGTCCTTTGGCTCCGAAATCGATTGCAGCGCCAGAGATGTCATATCGACAAGTTCACCTTGGGGGATTGTCAATCCTGTTTCCTCTTCTATCTCCTTTGCAGCTGCTCCGGCGAATGTTCCACTATCATCAATCATACCAGCTGGGATCTCGGGGAAAGCTAGGGAGCCGGCTGGGATTCGGGGTTGAATGGTCAGAATCGCCCTCTTCTCGTCCTCGTTCGATGAGGGCACATCGTCGGGCTGGAGGATCATCTATCGCACAAGGATCACGATGGTCAGTAATCTGATTCGCATCGTACAGATATGGGATGTTGTCATTCTTACCAACATTCCCACACTACCACCCCTCAGAAAGACCGTTCCCGGGAGAGTTTCTCCGTTTCCATTGGAAACTTCAGCTTTGAGCTTAACAAACCCCAATCTGCCGCCCTTGAAGTAATCAACAGATTGAATATTGATTTTCCTTAAAACATAGGGGTTGTGGTTGAACTCATGGGACGGATTGTGTTGTCGCTGTAACGATCGGTTAAGGGTGGAAAGCCAGACCCGAAAGGCTGGGAAACGTAGGAGATCGTCTCTGCTCAGATCGTTAAGAGAATTGACTGGCACAGACCCAGAACCATTGCCTTCATCAAGAGGAATGGTGAAGCTCGACATTGACCTGATTGTGCCCGATGGCGCGATGGGATTGGAGAAGCAGGTTGGATGCAGATGCCGCACGGACAGCCACAGCCTGTTCCTCATGAATCGCGTGTGCTAGTCAAGGACTCGTGAGAAGCGAATCTGCTTACCACAAGATGAACAGCGTGACCCAAGGAATCTCAAACAGATAACAGACCATCACATGAACCGTCTCGGGCCAGGAAACCTGGAAAAACATCCGAGCAAGATGATAGAGTTCAGTGGAGAATGAGAGACAGCAAGAGATGACGTCGACGGATTGCTGCGGGAATTACTGCCCGTGTTCGCTTTCTCTTGCTCCGTGGGATCTCCTTACAAGTTCTTTTTCCGTCCAGCCTTATCATCATCATTTCATTCTTTGATAATAATAATAATCAATTCTAAGCATTCCCCTTGAAGCGATTCTAACTATAGTAATAGGTACCAGTAGGATCACGGACTACCCGGATGAGTCAATCAATCGATCATTACTCGTCTCTTTCTCGGCTAAAATCTACCTACCTACATACCAGATCCCGGATATCTAGTTTACGTGTCTACGGAGTAAGATCAGCCATAGAACGCTCTCTGATCAATCATCCTGCGGGGTTAGATAGAATAGATGGTGACACCCGCCAAAGGAGCTTCGTTGCTTTATGGGAGCTCCTCTCGCTTCCAATTCCCTGCCACCCGCCACAGTTGGCGGTTTTGATCATTGGACGGCTTTGGACATTGGTTTGTGGTCCTTTTATGTTTCTGTCCATTCCTTGCTCACCTTCCCCCTCATCATTCCTTATTAATACTGAAGGTCTCTTTCCCTTTCCCCCCCCAATCCATCTTTGGCTGCGGCGCAGTGCAGACCCGTCTTTGGCGCATCTTCCCGACTTCGCTTGACGGTCGGTACGGTCTCGATTTCGTCAACGTTGCCCAGACGTCAGAGATCCCTTGTGTGTTACGGTCGTACTTTTGCTCCGTTTGGCTCCTGCCTGGCTACTATTACCATCAAGGATTCTGCTCAGGCAACGTTCAAGGGCCCTGTGTCGAATAACTCCGGGAGACCCTGCCCTGCTATTTCGTTGTCATTCAACCATTATTAGTTCTCACCGGGCTGGCTGCAGTATTAGGGCAAAACTGCTGTTGCCTCCTAGGACTCTTTGGCTCTCTTTTCACTCCTCCTTCTACCCACTAATCTCCATCTCCCTTATTGCTTTCTTCTTTGCCCCCCTTCTGTAGGGCCTTCCCAGCCTTGAAGGGTCCTGATTCCGAGCTCCGTTTAAGACTAATCCACGAGATGATTTCCAGCCAATTGATATCGTTTGGCTTAGGCGAATGATCGAATGTTTTCACTTTATTTAAGAAGTCACTGGGGACGTGTCCGCCATCTGCATTGTGACTAATATTGACACTGTCACAGTAGTACACCAGAATCTGGTTGGAATAAGGCTATCTGTCCCCATCTGCACGTTATCTATAACTACTTTGAATCATGTTAGCCTGGGTCTCTCTATCAAACAATCCCAGTTGTATCCATAAGCATGCCATCGGCTGTCTCCACCTGAGCTCACCTGTCTGTTGCTCCTGTCTGGACTTTCATCCGAGTGCTTCTTATGGGAGGACCTTGTCATCTGCAAATACCGGCAACACACCGAGGCATACAACAACTGCTTCTACAAGGTACTGTTGGAAGTGCCACGGTCCGTCTTCTCTTCCCCCAATTCCCAACCTCGTCAGCTCGTTCATGCACTAGTTCCTTGAGTTCTTTGTATTTGGTTATTATTTGCAGCTTCGCTTATAGTCGCTTGACCATATTTGTTTAGTGTATTTATTGCCTGCTTTGCTTCTTTCACTAGAGCAATTACTCACTGGCTTGAGCCCTTGTGATTTAGAATACTGGAGTTTTCACTCTTCATCTAGCCGTCCCGGCAGGCAGGCTTTCATTCACAGTCAACCGGAATACCCTGCTGAGGCGTATCTTGCAAGTGCCAACGCACGCAGTCTGTCTTTCGATATCTCTTCCACCCTTCCTCCTTCCATCTCCCTAGAGCCGACGAGATCTTCCTATCACAGAAAATCTCGCCACGATAACATCGATAATCTTCGAGAGGAACTGCATGCCATCCATCAGGGGATCACGAGAATTCTAAACCACTTGCAGCTCCTGAGCGAGACGCTACTGACCTACCAACCCGCAACGCAGTACACCTGCGACCCGGGCTATCAATTGATTCCTTCGAGCATGGATGTGCGTTTGTCTCGTTCCACTTTCGGGGACTCTAGCAATATGGCGCCTCCAACGTTCTCAAACATGCGGGATTCCAGCAGCCATGGGGCTGTGGATCCGCAAATCATCGCGCAAAATAACGCATCAGGTGCCATTGACGCTTCTACAAATCCTCATTTCGAAGGTCAAAGTGAGTATCCGTAACCTCGGTTGGGACCAATATCTTAGGCTAAACACTTTGAGAAGATTCGAGCACCAATCCGTTTGCAACTTCACTTGCTGATGAGTACCTCGCTTTGATACACGATGGAGACCTCGCCTTCCCGCCACCCACTTCCCAGGACACAAGAACTGGGATAAATGCAGGGAACCAACAAACCCACGGGGAGGGTATAGCAGGCCAGAACGCCCTGTGGGGAGATTTGACCGACCACAATCGAAGCCACCAAGAAGCCAGCCTGCGTTACTGGGATCCGCAATATGTCGCTGATTTCAATAGACACAGTTATTCTCATATACGGACGGCTCCTGTTCAACCACCGGGATCGTTGTTTCAAAATAGTCACCAGCTCACAGTGCAGCAGAGATCCAACCTGCAGCCCTCAGGGCCACAAAATGTGACCGCGCCTGCCTACCAAATGATACCATCAGATACGGTCAATACTCCCGCACATTTAGAGACTCAGCATTACGGAGGTGTGCGATATAGACCTGTCTATTCTCCACCGTCATACACCCGTCCCAATCCCTATATGCCATTTCCGCAATGGGGCGTTTCACCGGCGACCAGCCAGCCCAGACGGCACCATCGGACGCAGAGCTCCTCTTCCACCGCAAGCTCAGTGCCGGGGCAGCAGCAGGCTCCGTCCATCAGCCAGACCACACGTCGACGCACGCGCCCTGCAGGTGAAACGAATCCGCAGCTCCCACGTCGCCTCTCAACATCTCAGGTGCCCAGAGTGCCGGCGGCGGCGACTGCCACAAGCCCCAGTCCTGCGATGGCGATCGGAGCACCGCATTACTTCACGTATCTCACTCCAGAAGATCATGTCCGGATCCAACGATTGGCGGAGCTGCAAGCATACACAAGTATGCGCACCGGTAGTGTCGTCCACGGAAGTCACCGACAACACTCGCTGGATGACGACGGCCTCGTTGATCGTGGGCCACCGACTCCCAAAGGCCTTGATGACACGACGGATGGTCGTCCCAAACCCAAAGAAGACAGAGAATTGACCGTCAATCTCGAATGCAAGATCTGTATGAGTCAACTGGTGGACACCGTGATAATTCCATGCGGTCACGCGATACTCTGCCGCTGGTGCGCTGAGCAGCACATGCCGTCCAGTCGACTCGATCAAGTTCGGATCAAGGGACGGCCTCTTTGCCCTATGTGTCGTGGAGTCGTCAAATCCAAGGTACGGTCTCGGATTCGGCTAGGGAATAGCGCTAATGTGATGGTTGTCTAGATGCGAATCTACTTGTCCTGACACCCTCCGCTGCTTCAACATGCCTGGTCTTACTTCCTACTACGTTTTTATCCAAATGCTGCCTTGGCTATCCTCAGATCCCGTATACTCTTCGACTTGGCTAGAAAGCTAAAGCGCGGCTCCCCTGGAAAGCCACGCGTTGGGATCTGTTACCGCGCCTGGAATAGCAAAACAGAAAGGTCACTAACGGGCGGCGTTTCCGATTCGACTTTATGTCCCTCACAAGCCACCAAAGTTCATGGAACATTCCTTTAGAGTACCAAAAGAATTCAGCTAGTGTGGTCTTGCAATAATTTCGAGACAGTTTTTCAGTCTCATTTTTCAGTCTCAGACTTCTTTGCATAGCGCCTCTTAGCGCTGTACGTGATGATTTCAGCGCAATTGCCGATCCAGGAGTCTCGTCGAGAGGCACAGTCAATCCGTTTGTCGGTCTTCGGTCGGCCAGCGCGTCTTCGACATTTTCTTGTTGCTTGAACGGAATCTTAATAATCTACTATGGCCCACGATAGATGATTCAATTAATAATAATGAATCACTTGCTCCGAGCATGAGTCATCGTCAGTAGCGATGACACTGAACTGTGTAATAAAGCAAAATACATTCAAGACGAACATTTTCGGCTATGCCGATGATGACTACAGTCGTTCCGCGGTCACTTCGTTCAATCATACCATACTCCGTAGATAGGCGACTAAACGATTACGGAATGATAGGTGGTGGCCTAATAATACCCAGTAGGCATCTTATGATCATGGCGGAGGCAGTCAAGGGAGAGGCTGTGGCCAAAACACTACTAGAATCTCGCAGGGCCATTGCCTCTCCGATGACGCAAAGGAGCAGGCAAACATGCGCGTGAAGCCTGGCCATTTATGTGACCACGATCTCTAAAACTCTAATGTAAGCTTCAAAACACAGACATGGTTGCGCCATGACATCGGATCGCATCGCGTTTTCCTATTTGAACCGATTGAAACTGTCAACTGGTAAGCTAATGCTATTTGCCTAAGGCATCCAAGTACACCACCCGCTCAGGTTGTTGGAAAGTGCACGGGCAGCACGGTTGCATGGCGGTTTTACCCGGGCAACAATCCACCTTGACATGGGGTTATGGGAAGCTGCTCGATTGCATCATTTAAGGAGCTTTGTACTCCGTAGTAGGGTGTATACTGATCTGATAGTTCATCGAAGGGGTTCGTGAGATTCATATGCAATGTCATTGGTTTAACTCGGATCGCTGTCGATATTGCTGAGTACCTACAATGGAAGGGGGCAATGGGCCGCAGTCTCGCAGTCGCACAGACAAGGCAACCATTGAAATAAAGTAGCTTGTTCACCGCACTTAACCATTCCTGGCAAACAAACATTCATCCCTAGGTCCTACTTCTCGGTATGAGCAAAGGGGACGTGGTATATAACTCGGAGTATATCTGCTAGATCGGCTCCCTGCTTGCCTCTTGTCGTTGCCCGTGCCACCCTGGTATACAGAAGCTTCATAAATCGAGTGTCAACATCGCATTCCCGTACATGTATATCCCTAACTGCCTCTGGATCCAGCTGTTAGCGTCCCAAGGGAAAGGACAGAAAAACCTCAATCTGCCTGTTTTCTGTTTTGGGACACTGGGTCTGAGCATGTTGCACGTGGCGTGTTGATCGTGGGCTAGGCTTCTTCATACTACATACGAGGACATTCCACCCGTATGCCCCAGCTGCCTGATATTACCTTATTGGGTTAAAGAAGGCGCTGTATACCTCTCCCATCTTTGTCGCGGTCCTTCAGGATGACTGTAGACTAATCTGAAATAAATGCGGTTAGCATTGCACAAAGGTCTATGGATAGGGTCTAGAAGCTGGGTAAAACAAGGCAAAACGGCCAGGCTGCAGATGGATTTGAATCAGTCTTGTATTTCTGTTAAGGCGTTGTTTGAATCCTAAGCACCTGGCCATGAAATGCTGGAAATGCTACTTCTGATTGCCTAGTAGCGCATAACTGCATTGTTCTTGTGCCGTTGGAAATCAAACCACTCTTAGTCCCCAGGGTGCGATGTTGATCCTCACCAGTTGACTGTTTACTATTGCTCACCCATCGGTATACGGCAGAAACTGGGCCTTGGTGATAAGTCGAGTTACACCGAGCCCGGTCTTCAGTGCGATCTCTGATGATACATTAGGTGAGATAATCTGCAAGGCTAAATTAATGGTAGTAAACGATCATAGCATAAGTGAACACTTGGAGTTAAGATGATCATTGCCTTCCATAGGGCGGAGATAAAGGGTGAACTGCATTTGTAATATTGTCTTTCGTCTAGCTCATGTTTTGATATTCGAGAAAATTCCTTGGTGGACCGTCAGCATTTTAGGCTACCTTAGTCGGTATGTCAATTGTTTTGTCCTTCAACATGGGAAAAAAGAAGAATATAAGCAACTTTGGTTCAACTTTTTATAGAATTAACTGAATAATTATTCAGGTAGATCATTATGTCCTAGAAGAAATAGACAAGAGACGCTCAACTGCGGTGATAATGTTGCCCTTTTTAAGGTTCATAATGGTCAGGCAACCAGGGTCGATCTTTAAATCATGGGAAAAGTAGCAATATCTCAGCCAATTATCCGCCAATATCAAGGCTTGATTATTGGATATTTGTCTTCTTGGTATTATTATTGACTAGGTAGACATTCTCTATCAAGGCCAAAGCGACTTTTCATTGAAATCGAATCCACTTCCGCTTATTCCCTTTGTTTAGTTTCATGACTATTATCAACAGCATCCCTATCCATCATCGGCGTCACCTTTCCTCGGTCATCCGACAACTTAAAACCTCGACTTGCCTTGGCTTCATCCCTCCACAAACCAGCTTTGGAAAGAGAACAGCCTAGTTACCAGGCTAGCTCCGGTGTTTCTAACTTAAGATCCGGAGTTAAGGTCGGCAGGAGCAGGAAGTAAGGCACAGTAAGGTACCTACCTACCTAGTTGAGTGGCTCACTGTTTGCAAAAAACGGATGGAGCCTGTTAGTTAAGTTGCCTTTGCCTGCCTAATTGGTATCTATCTAGCATCATTATTATTGTCTGTCCCGCTCAACCTTGTCTTGATCGGGAGCTATAAATAAGCTGGTGTTTGCTTCATGAGCTTCCTCAAGTAAGTGTCGTCATCACTATCCTCATTCTTCACTGTTATTTTTTTCTTTTTTTTTTCGCCTGGCATCGTGAGTGCTCCGGATCCTTTTGACCAATATCATTTTGTTTTGTTTTCATATTCCATTTTGTATTTCATCCTTTGTTGAGGTTTGAGAGTGAATATTCAAAGCTGTGCCTGTCTTCCGTCATCTCTTGTGTTTGTTCCCTTGGTGTGTCTGTGCTCCTTGCTGCCTTGTACTCACCCATCAGTCGGACACCACAGATTCGTGCCCCTCTCGCCAACCTCCGTCTCATCCGTTACCTCTCTTCTAAGCTGGGATGTGGATCATATCAGCTGATGCAGATGGGAGAATTCAATCAGATGACATGCTCCAGATTGACTCTAAAACCCTTTGAGAATAATGAGCAACGGATTTATTTACCAGCAATCGGGCATTGTTCCAGATCATCCCGACGTCCACATCAGTACAAAGAATCACGCCGCAGACCAATTAGGTGCCCAATTGATTGATTCCCCGAAGATCGCAAATGAGACCGGCAACTTTCCCAAGTAAGTATTTCCGTCGGCAACTCCATTATTCCTATTCCAAGATATTTGTCCGTTTGCGTTTCATCTACTGACCGCGTTATTTAGGAAACCAATCGGTCGATTGCCTGACGATAATGGGTCACCTGTGGTATATCCGATCACCCATATGGCTCGCCATTCCGTGAGCCCCTCAGTCTCTGTAAAGAGGCCTTATTCAGCGGGGGCTATTCCAGAAAACTCTGACTCCGAGGATCTGAGCAATCAAGGCTTCGCTTCAGGAGGGAGTATGGAGGCTGCGTCACCTCACTTCATAAAATGTCGCCAGCAGAAATTAAAGACCCGACAGCGACGTTCGGCTCACATGCTAGGCCCCTCCGGCAGTCGGATAGCAGGCGAAATCGGAAATCGCAAAAGTAGTCCGTCTAAGAGCGATACGCGACTGCCTAGACTTTCAGCAAGCTCCGCCGACGAACTTGCCGGGAGGTGGCGACAAAGGGTGTCGCAACCCGATGCGCAACAGATGCATGGAATCCCTGTCCAGCATGAAAGTGTATCGACCCTTCAGCCGACTGGCAGGCAAGAGAAACTCGTTGCGCGGCCCAAGGGGCAACCGGCAGAACCCGTGGAAGGATTGAGCTTTGATCAGAAATCCGCTGGAGGTGACTCTGCGGTAGCCGGAGGTACAGCATCACATGGGATCTTCCTACAGCCAGAAACTCATCCTATAACAGAAGAGCAATTGATCAATGAAGTGCGCGGAATCTACGCGGGGCTAGTCATGGTGGAGAAGAAATGCATTGAAATCGACAAGCAACAGTCCGAGTCGAAGACTCCGCTGTCCCCACTCCAATGGCAGGCCCTGATTGCCCTCCATCGAACGCTGCTGAACGAGCATCACGACTTCTTTCTAGCATCACAACATCCGTCCGCGAGTCCTGTGCTCAAAAGACTAGCACAGAAATATGCCATGCCGGCTCGTATGTGGCGTTATGGGATCCATTCCTTCCTAGAGCTACTACGCCACCGGCTCCCTGACTCCCTGGAGCATATGCTGACTTTCATTTACATGGCTTACTCGATGATGACTCTGCTATTAGAAAGTGTCCGCGCATTTGAAGACACGTGGATCGAATGCCTGGGCGACTTGGCGCGATATAGAATGGCAGTAGAAGAGGTGGACGTGCGAGACCGCGAGATCTGGGCTGGCGTCGCCAGATACTGGTACAACAAGGCGGCGGATAAGAATCCTGACGTTGGCAGAATACAGCATCACCTTGCCGTCCTAGCTCGCCCGGATGTAGTCCAGCAGCTGTTCTACTATACAAAGTCTTTAGTCAGTGTGCACTCTTTTCCAAGCACGAGGGAAAGCATACCATCACTGTTTAATCCGCTTCTGAATGCGCCAAAAGCTCATCACCACTATCCGCTCATTGCGGCATTTGTTTTGGCTCATGGCTATCTCTTCTATCGCAACCCGGCGCCTCAGTTCTACAGATCAGCGGAGGAATTTTTGGCACACTTGGAAACTCATGTTGGCCGAATGGGGGCCGCCTTTAAGATGCAGGGTGTCTATATGTCGTCGTGCAATTTCGCAGCCATATTCGAATACAATCACCCGGACGCCGCCTTACCCGCCAAGTTCCACCCGCGAGGGATCCATCAAGGGAGGTCTGCTTTGGAGACCCAGCCGACGCCTGCAAAAACGTCGACTTCCGCTTCTGACCTCCCTCTGACCGAGGATGGGTCAGTGGCATCCACAGATAGTCGAAGGTATTCGCCACTTAGTCTTTACGCGTCGTGCCTGACGTTTCAAACATTGTCTGTCCTTCTTGACCAGATCGGAAACAAGAACGTTTATCCCACAGTGCATATCTCGATGGCCTTCCTCTGGTGCCTAGCACTTAACGGCAGAAGCAGCATGGAATACATCGAAGCTTTCGTTCCCTGGAGAAAGATCGCTACCTTTCTCAATACCATGATTCGCGATGATACAGATATTCGAATTTTCGAAGGTCCCCATTTCCCTACTGTGGAAGAGAGGAAACAATTGCCGGAGGACTTTTTCATACGTGGTCAGCTCTGGAGTCAGCACTATTTCCCGCTTCGTTTCTTTGAGCATTCACTCATTGAAGACGAGGGGCGTTTCATTGAGCTACCCTCTCTGAACGTTTCCAGGATGTACAGGTGCCTTTGGCTGGGAGTGAAGCTGGCGACGGTATGTCTGAAGGACCGCGGCGAAGGAGCGGTAAAAAATGCTAACGAGGGACAGTTCCAACGTTGGGTGACATACGACCCGGTCTCCCGAAAGTTCTCGGTGACACCCTTTGCGCTTCGACTTGAGAAACTTGCAGAGCAGCACAATCCCTTCAAAGTCGCAGCGCCGCAGCCTGGGCCCCATGATTTGGAAATGCCTGACACTTGAGGGTTCAGCTTCTCTCTTGCGTTAAGTCGTACCACAATTTCTTCAATCGAGATCCTGGGCTGTCTATCGGAGTTTGTCAGAAGCCCGGAATGCGACGATACCAACGAATGAATAAGGCGTGTCATCACTGGCTGTACATTAAGGCCAAGCATTGAGAATGGCAACACGACTTGTCATACAATTTCCCGACGACAGCCCGCGTGGGGCTAACTTGCCAGAAGCGCTTAGGAAAGTGACCATTACGCTGATCTGCCAGATCGCGCGCCTTGTGGGAAGCTAACACTGCCAATACCCCTCCGCCGTCTCAAATGTAATTCACACATTCAATTTTCTAAGGTGGCGTCTTCGCTGAGATTCCATCTTAGACTCTTCCATATTCCTACTCTGCCCCGGAATGATACTTCCAGAGGTATCTCCTTGTCGAAGTTGCATTCTTACCGATCACGTGGTATTTCCAGATGGGTTATTTCTGCTCCCCATCTATTCTGTGCCCAATTAGGTTCCTCTTGGATCCTACGCTCGCTTCTTGTATGAACTTCTATTGGACATGACAGCTTCGTTGAGTCACTTGTGATGATATGATGTTCTTCTCCCTAGGACGCTTTCACTCTTGTCCGTATCTCCCTTCCGTAGATATGATTATGATCGAGCCGTACCTGCTCATTGGAGCCTGTGGAATACATACTGTCAAGATTCCCTAAAATATGAGAAATAACCTTTTGAAATTGAGCATCGTTCGCTTAAATGATGTCCACCAATGATAGGATGTCAATGCAGACGTGTATATCTACCTGAATTTATCTCCGTGTATATGGTAGTAGATAGCGCGTGGCCGTATACGTAAGTGCCTGTTGTCCCTTGTGGGGTTGAAGCATCGCGGCCCGGCAAGGACCACCTATCTAAAAAAGGATCCAAAGGATCGGATTATGCAACCAGCTATCTACAACTCACTAAACCCAAAACCAAAAGGACAAGTTGGCTATCCGGTCCTCCGCCCCAATTTACATGGCATTCCGCGCATGATGGCCATTGTCTGTAGCGACTTCAGCGATCAATGCAAGCATTACTGACCAGACAGGCTTCGTGTCGCATGGCCGACCAACCAGGGATCGTTTTGACCTGTATCTCCAGCGCCTGAGCTCGTCTACTGCTACTGTGATTAACATTGCAACATTTTTTTCTTCATTTACAAACGCGTCTATTATATCCATTATGGCTGAGGAATCGTGGATTGGGACGTGTGTCCATTGCACAAAGCTGCTAGCCAGCGTGCCTCTTCCCGTCCTCCTGGTTGCCATATCCGCGACCCTTCTCGGGTCATTCGTTCTCGTATGCTCTCCTCTCGACTTTCTTTCCTCCTATCCCAATGTTTCCTGTTGAGAATTACTGACATATTCCCGCGCAAGTTCTACGTTGTCCTTTATCTAGTCGCACCCGAACCGCGAAAACCATTACCGGAGGAGAAGAGATACCGCACCCTTTCCGAGGATGGAGCAATCACCCAACCCGAACAACTGCCCTGCTGGCAGGACGCCCTGGACCGGCAGAAACGTCCCGGTCGGATCTTTGACCATTCACACATGGAGAAGGCGGAGCTATTCTTGTCCCTGGTGGTCCCCGCATACAACGAGGAGGACCGTCTAGCCGGCATGTTAGAGGAAGCGGTCAACTACCTAGAAAGGATGTACGGGACACTTGCGGCGTCATCCGCCTCCGAGGAGAAGGCCGGAGACGCAGTCCGACAGCGGAAACCGGCCAACGGCCATGCGAACGGCCATGCAACAACAACGGCCACACCTAGCGGCAAGTTTCCACCTGGGAAGGGCTGGGAGATTATCATTGTCTCTGACGGGTCCAAGGATAAGACGGAGGAGGTCGCGTTTGCTTTTGCCCGCGACCACCAGCTTTCGCTGCATCCTAAGGGGTATGCTGGTCCTTGGACGCCGACGCCTCATGAGGGGGTCCATATTCCACCCGGCACGATCCGGGTGGTGACTCTGGCCGAGAATCGGGGGAAGGGCGGGGCGGTTACGCATGGTATGCGACATGTCCGAGGCCAGTACGTGGTGTTCGCCGATGCCGACGGGGCGAGCAAGTTCGAGGATCTGGGGAAGCTGGTCACTGCGTGTCGGGACATTGAGGACTCGGACGGGCGTGGAGTAGCAGTGGGTTCGCGGGCGCACATGGTTGGCAGTGAGGCTGTTGTCAAGGTATGATTTGTAGTTCCTGTCCGTGTGAACTGGGCAAGGCTGACGTCGGACTGCTGATCACAGCGTTCGAAACTACGTAATTTTCTGATGCATTCGTTCCATTTGATACTGTGGCTTATGACGCCTCCCAAAACAGCGACCATCAGAGATACCCAGTGTGGGTTCAAGTTATTCTCGAGGGCCTCGCTGCCTTATATCATCCCCTATATGCACTCGGAAGGATGGATCTTTGACGTTGAGATGCTCATGCTGGCTGAATTCTCGAATATCCCGGTTGCAGAGGTGCCCGTGGGCTGGAGAGAGGTCAAAGGGAGCAAGCTGAACGTCGTTCGTGATAGCATCGGTATGGCTTGGGGTCTGGCTGTCCTCCGGGCTGCATGGACATTGGGGGTCTACAAACGGACGTGATAGAGGCTAGGAGTTTCTCTGTGTTGTATTGAGTCTATACAATGTTTTCTACATCTTATCATCTGATTACTCCGTAGAGGTCTGCCCAGAGAGGTATATTCCACGATGAGAAAAGCAAGCCAAGAGAGGTTCTATATTTATTATTCTAGATCACTCACAAATGGCGGCGACTGGTCCCGAGCATCCCCGTCTTGCCACCCAATTTCGAGAAGCCGAGCACTGGAAGATCCCGATGAACCAAAGACCCATATCAAATTGAGTTTTCTCTTTCTTCCTAGACCGTCGGATAGGGCCCATTATTTCCATGATTCCCTCCGATTGATCGAAATGGCAATGAGAGTCAAAGTTTTCGGCAGGAATTTTTCTTGACTGACGTCGGTCGGTCCGAGTCAAGCTGCAGAATGTAGGGCCCCTCGATAGTCCAGCCTGTGATGGAGACACGATGACGGCGGATGTTGGACTGATTGGATGCTGGACAGTGGTATGATGCCTTTCTTTTTTTGCTCTCTCTTTTCTTTACCCTTTTTGCCAAATACTGACTCAATTGTCAGTCCATCAGTGCATGTCAGCGTGGAATGCTCTGATTCATATATTCGAAGCGATTGGATCCGCGCAGAATTTGTCTGCGTTTTTCTCTCTTCTGCATATTATCTATCTTATACCGTTGCAGAGAGGCATTGTATGAGGTGTTGAATTCTGATATCATTTGATTCTATTTAGTTTGTGAATTGTCTGATGTCACTGGGAGCTTTTTCCACACTGGGGTATTTCTAAAGATAAAGAGCTAGTTCCCTATACTTCTTACCCTTGTCATTCGTTCTATGATATCTAGCTACAGTCTCGAACACCTTGATATGTTCGAGGTCATAGCTTCTACACCGAAATCCGCACAAATCCGGACACGCAGTCCTCGAAATACAACTCCCAAACAGTCGGCTTTCTTTCGACTACCTCCGGAGCTGCGCCTGAAGATCTACGAATATGCCCTGGCGGTCCCTAATGAATACACGGACCGTCCGCTGATCGTCGTCAACGATCGCGGCAACACCTTCACCTCACGCGGACGGTTCCGCGCCCTGTCTATGTGTCCTAGCTGGGTAGGGCAGGACGGCACAGCCCGCAATCTGCTATCTGTCAACCGCCAGATCCACGACGAAGCAGAGGATTTTCTCTACTCGCGCTACACCCTGTTCTTCCTGAACTCGTTTGATCTGAATCGTCTCGGCGCATTCCTGGATACCCTCAGCGCGACGGCGCGCAGCCGCATCCGTAGCGTCGGCTTCGAGATCTGCTTCTTTGTGCATTCGCAGACGGGGGTGCCGAAGCGCATGCTGAAGGACTACGAGCGCGCTGGGCGCCTGCTCATGGAGAAGCTGCCGCAGTGGTCTAGTGTCTTCTTTTATCTGGATCCGAGATTCTACTATCCGTCTGCTTCGGTGGGTGGGCGTGAGCTATCGGCTCGTGGGGTCCTCTATCTGGCGACGGTGTTTGGGGCGATGAGGAAGGATCTGCATTTCTTTCCGTTGCCGTCGATTCATCGGCATGTTATGGATGAGGCGCAGAGGTTGTTGAGGAGGGGGAGTCGGTCGTCGCAGGGTCGGCCTTCTCTCTGACGGACCTTGGAAATCTTCTTTTATTCTTGTTCACTGTGAGAGCTCTGAGATTTTGCAGCATATGTCATCGTTCGTTTCAAAGTCTATTGGACCACCGGGGACTGCTGCAGGATGACGTCCCGATGTTATGCGCTGCAAAAGCCAAACATTGAGACTCTGTCCGATCTCGGGCTGGCGTGGGGTCAATGATTTGGACCTAACGGGATTTTTCTGGCGCAGGAGGCTCGGATAGGAAATGCATGGCGCTGGTTTGCTTTTTTGGAATGTTTCATGTTTCTCATCTGGATGGGTTGCTTTCATGTTGAAGGATTTGGCACGAAGGAGTTTTTTTGACTGGGCATACTCACCTCATATAGACTATAGACCGATTGGATAGATATCCGCTCCCTGTACTTATATCGATGCTATTAATACTAATACCAAAGGAAGCAAGATTATATGCTGATTTTAAGGGCAAAATCCGCATGCCACACATACTGCTTGATTCATGTCATGATCGGCCGACCCATCTCCAACTCCCTAGTACCACTCTGAATCTGACTACGGGAGGGTTCGGATGATCATTCAAGTATAATAAATCAGTTAGAATGTTTACACAGACACAAGAACTCACAATGACACCTGAACGAGGGGAATCGATCATCTGTTGGACGGGTTGTGTATGGCATAACGTCATCGCGTCTCTCGTGATCGCCCACTTTCCCCTACCACCTCCATTTTGTAGATTCCCCAAAATCTGATGCATTCCTCGGTGATTGTCATCCATTCGCAGATATAATTATCGATTTTATTCTTCTTCCTCTATCCTTCGTCGATATTCATCTCCGTGCTGGCACTGAATTTGACAGTTTCGGTTTGTTGAGAGAGCACTGAGGTTACACTCTCATAAAGGACTGTAGGAGACTGAGGGTGCTAGTCTGGTACGTCTCACACGATTCCCCCGCATAAAAGTGGGACATTCATCGTCGACCCGCTTTCTGAAAACTGATATAAATGCTTCAGTCTGCGATCGTTTTTCAACAGCTCCCCTTCCGGTAACAGGATGCGCTGAACTACTATCGTTGCGGTGAAAGATTATCTCGTCCACTTGTCCTCCGGCGTTTGGCTGGCTCCAAACAACCCAACATTCGACCTCCACACTACGAGGCAGTTGACAACGCTATCGCTGCTCTTTCTATGGGGCCACGCTGTGCCTCAGGAGATCCTACATATTTGTCCGCGCTTTCAGGCATCGCTTCATACGCTAGTTGTCGGTCGAAAATTAACCACTCAACGTCGTACAGGACGACTCTGTCGCCAAGCGACCCCCTTGCCCCCTCTTGTCTGTACCTCGTAGGTGGATCCCTGCATGTGTTTTTCCTTTAGTTTTCATGCGTTGGAGATCTGCCCTGGCGATGCTGTTTCCCATTTCGAGAGGACGCCAGGTTGATAATCCTCACGTATCGTTGACAACCCGCTGATTATTGGCAAATTTTCGTGGAGATTGAGTGCTCAGTCTCTCCTGTATTAGTTTTATTGTCTTTGAAGTTCCCTTGCTTCTTTTTCTTTTTCTCCACCTCTTCATCCCTTTGGACAGGAGAGGCTTTTTTTTAACTGGAAGACAACCCTGCAATTGTTTCATGTGAAACGGTCTGGCTACCGCCACCATGAAATCAACGACTGCAAAGGTTCCCAATGGGCATGGGAGCCTCTACAAGGAGGTTCGCTTTTCGCCAACGGCAACCCCCATCCGCCGTGCACAGTCGGTCTCGACCAGTAACCCTGCCTCCAAGTTCGATCACGGGCGGGTGCTTGGCAAAGCTGAAAGCGATCGGTTCTCTTACTCGGCTTTGGGCGCCGATTATCTGGAGCAGGCCCGAACGCTTCTCCATCGCCAAAGGGCGAGCTTCGAGAACGAACGGGCACTTTTCGCAGAGGAACGGCAATTGTGGGAGAAGGAGAGGGGGTTACTAAAACTAAGAATATCAGAACTAGAAGCCTTGTTGAAAAGCAAAGGTACCCCGAACAATGACCATTCGGCTCCTGACACCCTTGTCAATTTCTCTTTGCATCCCTTCGGTGGTCCGGTGTCCCCTAATCTATCTAACGAGCGCCACCGCAATCAAGATTATATGAGTGCTCAGGTGTGGGAGGGGCCCAGCCCTACGACTCGGCCGACAAGGGTTTTTCACGGTGTGGAGAAGACCGATGGTCAGAACCACCTCGCGTCGATCACTGAGCAAGGAGCGCATATGCCACTCACTGCGCCGTCCTTAGATGCGGCCTTATCCCCGAAGGCTCGTGCAGCCGAACTCTCCTCGTGTATGAGTATACCCGTCCCAATCGAGAAGCTTGACAGCAAGCTAGATGGCATTACTCTCAAATCTTCAGCGCTACCGCCCGATGTCGTCGCCCGCGTGATGACACCACCATCCCCTTCGCCAATGGACGAATCTCCAGAGTCGTCCGATCGTTCGAAATCGTCTTCGGAACGTAAGAACAGCCTGAAGCTGAAACTGTCGGAGCTTGGGCCACCCGACGTGAATCTAGTTAGGGATGCTGGGCACACTCCCATGGTGCTCATCGATGCCGATGCGGACACAGAGCAGGCCTCGGTTAACGGTGACGTGATCCCCCAAGTCCAGGGCAAGGAAGAAGAGCCCTTTGCTCCTAGGGCGACGATGGTGGGACAACCTGCGGAAAACTCCGCCTCCTACTTTCCGGACTTACCTGATGATCCGGCTCTCAAGGGGCCGTTATCCCTGCTGAATGAAGAGGAGCATGACAGCGAGTTCCTACAGGAGCTGGATCTGAAACTCCTCGATCAGGCCAGACGAGTCATTGGTCGTTCCTCTGATGCCGATCCGAACGATGAGAAGGTAGCAGATGCAGACCCTACTGAGTCCGTTCCTGAATTGAAATTCAAGAACACGACCAATTTCGGCACTGCGTTCGGGGTCTCGGACTTTTGAAAAAGCTTGAGGCGTGCACAATTCCATTTGCATATTTTCTCTCGATTTGTTCAATTTGACCCTTTTTCATTTACTTTACGATGATACACCCGTTGTTCGACGCACGTTATCAGTGATTTTTGAGGAGGTCATATGCAATCTGATATATATACCCAAGTCATTTCGGTGGCCTATACTTCTCTTCCCGTTTTGGCAAACTAGAACGATAATATTGAGATAACGTCTTATTCTCATCTCTTCAAGTTTGAGTCGACAATCTGACTCCGCGATGTGTAACAAACCTTATCTATCAGGCAGCACTGTTTAAAGAAGTTCCGGGCGCTGGCGTTTGACTTGTCGTGGGCGTATCAATAACTCGGCCGCCCTTGCATGGCATCAACCCCGAATGGGCGTATCAAGCCACGATTCCCTCTTGTCTCATCCCTTTTCCCTTCGATGTATCTTCGCTGCATTTGCATGTGCAGTGCAAATCCGGAGGATACCCCAAACACCCCTCATCTTATACTCCTAGATATCATCGAACTAAGAATAGTCTTCATCTTGATGCCTTACATGTCAAGTGCTCGGATCTCGGTGGCTGGTTACGAAGGAAGTGAAACCGCTTGGGGAAGGCATTGAACTCACTTGCACAGAAAATGGAAGCAGATATAAAAGACGTCCTGTCCCATGCTATGATATGGTCTATCTGTCATTCATTCCTTGACCTTTTCGCTCGCTGAGAGCAGTCATTCGTTTATCTATCTGAACCACATTCTTTTTGCTCCTTCGGACTTTCTCTCATTATTATATTCTTTCCATCGACATGACAAAGATGCACAACGTCAAAAAGGTCTCGGCGCTGATGTGCCTTCTGCTCGCGGTTGGCCCTACTGCCGTTCTCTCGGCTCCCATCGCTGATGTAAGTCATGACACCCTTTGCACTCTCTTCCAGCTTCCTACCCTACTAAGAAAGAGACAGGTTGAAAGCATCGCCAAAAGGCAGGCCACTCACAGCAACACTGATGCTGCCTCCGTCATGGGAGCCGGCATCCCCGACGGACCCAGCTTCAACCAAGGCGATTTCTTCTCCACGAGCAGCGATGAAAACCGCGATGAGGACTGCGATGAGGATGGGGATAACGATGACTCGCCCTCTAGCCCGGGCTCGACCTCCAGCAGCAACACCGGCGCCGCATCCTTCATGAACGCTGGCATCCCCGACGGACCCAGCTTCAACCAAGGCGATTTCTTCTCCTCAAGCAATGATGAGCACCGCGATGTGGGCGACGGTGACAATGGCTCGCAGTCGGGCTTCAGCACCAGCACCGACGCAGGTGACTTCGCCACGTTTGGTATCCCCGATGGCCCCAGCGCTACCTTTGGAAAATTCTTTCACCATGATTATGAGGAGACTCACTCCGAGCCGCCCGAGACTACGCACGTTCCTAAGCCTACTCCGCCTACGCCTCCTGTAGAGACGCCTATCTCGACCCCTCCGGCTCATACTCCTACTTCTGCTCCTCCTATCCCTGCTCCTCCTGCCCAGGCACCTCCTGCCCCGGCTCCCCCTGTTCCCGCTCCTCCTCCGGCACCTCCTGCGCAGACTTCTGAAGTCCCTGCCCCAGCTCCTCCTCCGGCGCCTCCTGCCCCTGCCCCTGAAGCTCCTGTCGCTGCCCCTCCTGCACCAGCACCAGCACCAGCTCACCCCGCTGATCATTCCTGTACCTGCAGTTGAACGGCCATGATGAACAAGTGCACGGAAGCGTCCTAGTGTATAATGGCTTCCACAGGGACACAGCGTGTCTCTTATACTCTACTCCGACCCTTTCTTTTCCTTCTGTTCCTGTTCAAATTTCTAGCTATCGACCGGTTTGTCTCTGTCGGCATTGTCAGGGGTGAATCGGTTGTATTATATCTTTTATTTTTATACGTTGCTGTCGAGGAGTAGAGTATAGTATAATGCAAATGTGTCTCAATTCAGTATCATCTTCGCGTGTATCCTGCAGTGGGTGATCCCAAGGAGAGAAATAAAGTACTATTAGGATTTGCGTTCATATCTTCATAGAATCGGAAGCAGAGAGACTCCTCGCCAACGCCAAACAACCACCAGAAAAGGAACAACATGTAATCATACACCCATGGTAAAGTCATGCTCAATCCCGGGCGTCACACTAGCGATAAACTTCAAAAACACAACCAGGTACTGATCAACCCGGATAGCAACCTGATCTTCCTCGTCATGCTGCAGCACCTCCCACTCGTCTCCCCCGGCCGCATGCCCCTGCTGCTCATTCAGCGACAGGCCCCGCGTCTCATCCACCAAGCCCTCCAGCCCACGCTCCGAGTTGATCCTGTTCGCCTCAGCCGCCGAATGCGCCTGCTTGAGCTTATCGCGGCGGATCTTGAGGGCTGCGTCGGCACGGTCGAGCAGCGTCTTCATGACGGAGGCGTGGCGACAGGGGTGCACGGAGGCCATTTTCACGCCGCCATCGAACCAGGGGAAGTCCTCCAGCGTCACGGTTTTGTCCTTGTAGTCGCCGACGATGTCCTCCATCATGAGATGCGGGGGTAGGGGTTCGGAGGGGGAAAGGTAGCCGGACAGGTAGAGGCGCGGGGTGCGGTAGAAGTTCGAGTATGTGATGTAGAGGTTATAAGTGCGGATTGGCCTTTGAACGACATGTCAGAAAACACAGCAACAGCTTCACCGTCATTTCATGCCCAGAAGGCAACTAAGGTAGTACGTACTGCGTCGTCGACTTCCCCGCCGGCTCCCGGATGATCGCCTCCTCGTCATCATCATCGTCCTCCATATCCGGGATCTCTTCCTCATCGTCCTCCCGCTCGCCCATATTCCCCGATTCATCCACCGTCCGCACATCCTTTATCCGCTCCGCCTGCTTCTCGGCCAGATCGCGGCCCCCGCCTGTACGCAGCCACCCGTCGCCGTCGTCCGCGTCCGCACCGGACAACATATCCCGGACGATCTCGTCCTCGTGGCCTGCGTCGCCGGCGAAGTTCTCGTTCAGGCGTCGGTGGCAGGGGACGCCGCGGGTGACTAGGAACTGCTTTCCTGGGGGCAGGTACGAGACTCGTTTGGCGGGAGAGGAGGCGTCGGCCCAGGCCCATGTCGGGAACTTGTAAACGAGGTAGTCGCCCGCCAGGACGAACTCCTCTGGGGTGATTTGGCCGGTGGTGCGGAAGGTGGAGGTGCGGGAGACGGGGGCCAGGCGGTCCCGCCAGGTTGATAAGGTGGAGTGGAGGATGTTCATCGTTGACTGACTGCGTGCTATTGCGTGCTGATATCTATTTTGCAATGATGTTCTCGGAGTTTGGGATAGCGTGCGTTGAAGTCAGGTTTTGTTGAGATTGAAGATTGGATGATGATCAACAGAAGTGGCGGAGAGCAGCTATCTCTATGTTCCTCACGCGGGGCTACATCATGTGGCTTAGGCACGTCACAAACCACCACCAAATAAGAAATCACGGGAAAGATAAGAGCTGGTCTGAATAGTAACTGTTCTGTCTATAGCTATATTCAAGGAGGTAGATCGAATGACCAGCTTCACCTGACTGACATGACACTGGTAATGATGCAATCATGCCTTTAGATGTTTAGCCAAATAATGCTTGTACGGATTCAGTCCTCGTATCCCGCCAGAGCACAATAGCGAGCCAAAGTCGCTGCGCACTCAATAAGACGTCCTCTCAAGGTAGACAACACCACCAGCGACGGCATGGGTTTGTGCATGGGTACTCTCAAAAGATCGACCATGAGATGTCCCTGTATTTAGCGACCGCAAGCCCAAGCAAGGCCCGCATGATACAGCAATCAGCTTGTCTGCCTGGGGCTTTTGGAACATAGAGCGTACTGCGACCCTCACGGCAGCTGATCCTCTATTGATCGAGTTGGATAAACCCTGAGACGATGTCAGAGCTGTCATTTCAAGACCTCACTCGCCCTCCTCCATCATCCTGCGTCGTTCAATCTCAGCCTCCAGTTCCTCCACGGTCATCGGGACTGTCCGTGTCTTCCATTTGTCGAGTTCCGCCCTCGCAAATCCTTCCAAGCTCCCCATAGCCACAACCAAGAACCCCAGCTCCTCCCGATCGACGTCAAAGACCTCCCACCACTCCCCATCCACCAGCTTCACACCCTTTTCCCGAGCAGCGAGGTATATAGCTGCGACAGCAAGCGCATTCGGCTGGTGCGTGACGTAGAGTAGTTGCGGCGACAGCAGAGATCCATTCAAGTGCTCGAATACCCTCCGGGCTACATCTGATGAAGACACGCCGAGGGTCTGCAGGTACGTCAGGGCTATTGTATGCGGTAGGGCGACGTGCGTGTTGAAGCCCAGCGTGCGAAGGATGACCGATTCGATTCGGAGGAGGACGGCGCGCTGCGTCTGGTAGCCTCCTTCGGAGAGGACGTACGATTCCGGGGCGGGCTTATCTGTTACACCACTGGGATTGACGAACCATAGTGGAGACGCTTCCTTGGATAAGAGGAAGTTGTAGACGTTGAGAACGGAGCGAGGCGAGGTCGGCTGAAACGAAAGCTTCGCGGTCAGGTACAGAGCTGCGGCGGAGACGTCCTGGAAGAGTGTATCTAGTTAGCTTACTAGGACACAGCAATTGTATCTTGGAGAACAAACCTTCACTGAATAAATACGCATGCTTCCCCCTTCAGGACCAATCCAGAATCGGGTGAAAGTCACAATGGCCTGCGCAATGATATCCTGCGATAGGCGTAGTAGGATGCCAGCAGCGTGGGTAAGCTGCGCGCCCGCAAACCGGAGGGACGCCTCTAGATCGGGAGTGACGCCATCTATGGATGACGAGGAGCTAGATAATTGCTCGGGTGTTGCGAGTGCATTGGAGAGATGTTGCAACACAGCTGCAGCTGGGGGTGCCATCCTGTGCTTGTCTTTGTGGCGGTGGTTGTGAGATAATTGTAAAGCGAAAACAGTTGCGGACTGCGGAGTCGCTACGGAGAAGATGCCATGGCGATGAACCTCCCGCTGTTTACAGCCATTCTACCAAAAGAATCAATGAACCCATTCATCTCACACATTATTATTCATAGATCAACGGTTTTATATCAAAGAGGAGACGATTATAATGTGTAAGTGTACATTGCGATCAGCCGTTGCGGAATATCACCCGTTTGAGATGTTCGCTCTCTCCATCCTCTTCCACCATTCGCCGAAATATCCCGTTCTTCAGCTGCATGAGAGCTCGTGGAGAACCGAATTCTACCACTTTACCTGCATCGAGCACCAGAATCCGATCAAAATCAGCGACGGTACTGATACGATGCGCAATCACTAGCATCGTTGTGGAACGCCGACCAAAGTCGGACCGGATAGACCTCTGGATCACTTTGTCAGTAGCAGTATCTACCGCCGATGTGGCTTCGTCCAGCACAAGGATCCTGGGTGCGGAAAGTATGGCACGAGCCAGGCAGAGCAGTTGCCGCTGGCCCTGCGAAAGGTTCGATCCTCCCCCGGCGACACGGGTGTCGAGGGGAGAAGCATGCGTCTTTTCTTCCAAAGACTCTGGAGATGATGACTGGTAGCTGGGCCCTTTAGGCGCTGTTTCCTCCGCCGTCGAGTGCCTCCTACCATCTTGTGCTAACCATTGTACGCGATCTAAGACAGCAAGCAAATCGCTGTCATCATGCTCCTGGAAAGGATCGAGGTTGGACCGGATCGTGCCGGCGAACAATGTCGGATCTTGCGGGATAATACCCATTCGACGACGCAGATGATGGAGCTTGATCTGGCTGATGTCGAGGCCATCGATGAGAATGCGCCCTTCCTGAGCTTCGAGAAACCGGAATAGAGCCAGCGCCAGCGACGACTTGCCCGCTCCGGTACGACCTACTATACCAATTCGTTCATTTGGCTCGGCACTAAAGCTTACACCACGGAGAACAAATGGGTGATTAGGCGCGTAGCCCACTGATAGGTTTTCGACTTGCAAACGGCCTTTGGACGGCCACGCAGCTGGGGCATCTTGGCCATCGTATCGTTCTGTCTTAATGTCAGAGTACTCCAACACTCTTTCCACGCAATTCATGTCCAAGTCGAACATGACATACATTCTGATCGCCATGGCAAGCGCTGCGCTTAGCTGAATGATAAAACTGATCGCGAACCCGGCTGACGACGCTTTCAGGTTTTGCAGGAGAGTGAATGTCATTGCCGCTGCAGTCGTAAACAGAGCGCCGCTCATGTTGATACGGAGATTAAGCCAATGATTCAAGAGGCAAAGATTCCAGTAGACACGAGCATGTCGGTCGATCAGCCCATGCATTCTATCGACGAATGAATCAACCCTTTGATAGGAACGGATCGTCCAGAGCCCGCTAAGCGAAGAAGAAAGCAGCTCATAGATAGGGCTTCTGCTTATACTTTCAAGACGCTTCAATTGTCGTGCGGCGGTCAAATATTGGCGGGCGTACCAGCCGCACACCCACGCTACAATCCCAGAGAAAATGATGATGACAGGACTGACTACTATTCCAGCAATGACAGCGCCTAGTGCTTGCATGCCCTCACCTAACAGAAGCGTTATATCGAACCCCAGACGTGAATCGATCATGTTGAAGTCTGCCGTAAATCGGTTCAGAATACGGCCTAACGGCACGGTGTCCAGCCAACGAAGTGGTGCTCGGAAGACGGCGTGCAATACTTGGCTGAAAAGGCGTCGCGAAGCCTGAAGCGATGCGCTGAG